TCATGATGCTGATGAGGTGGGGATAATTTGTACTTGGGTTTTAGTGGTGATGAGGTACTCTGGATGTTACAAATAGAACTAATTCACCAAAAGTTGATAGGGTATGTTTTAGTAAGGATGCTCTCTCACCAAGTCATACAGCAATTATCGTACAGGTATTAAATCACTAATGAAGCTGCTTTGACGAGTCAGTTAGGGGAAGTGTTGTTGTCACTTCTTATACTATTTCTAGTGCTTCACAGGATAACTGTTGAAACTCATTTGCTTAAAAGCATATCGGTGCAGGTAAAATAATATTATATTTAATGCAGACATCCTTGCACACTGTAGGAAACTCTATTTATGTGCACTGGGTCACTCCTACCTTCCTAACAGGCTACAGTCTCTCTTTCATCACTGATGAACCTGGTTATTATCTCTGATTATTATATCATTTTTCAAAATTTCTAATCTTTTTGAACCATCCCAATCAGGTTTCCACCCCAAATGTAGCACAGAAACAGCCCTTGTTAAGATCACAAACAACCTCCTCCCTGCAGCTGATTCTGGTCATCTCTCTCTAGTCCTTCTGGACCTCACCACAGCCTTTGGTTGTCCACCACAGAGTTCCACAGGGTTTAGTGTTCAAGCCCGTCCTGTTCATTATCTACCTCCTCCCTCTTGGCAATATCTTCCGGCACTATTGTATTAATTTCCCTTTTATACTGACGATACACAACTCTACATGTCCACTAAGCCCACTTCAGCTGTCCCCTCGACTACCCTCACTGTTTGTCTCCATGATGTAAAGATATGGATGACAAACCTCTACCTTAAATTCAACAATAGTAAAACTGAAATACTGCTCATTGGTTCTAAATCCACACTCTCAAAAAATTATATTCACTCCCCATTGCTCAGGCCACCATAAACTCTCCACTGTCTTCTTCCATCTGTGAAACATCTCCAGACTACACCCTGCCTTAACACTCCACGGGAGCAGTCAATGCTTTGTTCACATCATGCATTGACTAATGCAGTGCAATTCTGGCTGGCATCCCCAACAATTTGTTCACTGACTTCAACTCATCCAGACCTCTGCGGCACAGATCCTTACAAGTATACAGAACATGCCACTCTTCTGCTGATTCAATTACACTGGCTCCCTGTATTACAATGAATCAACTTTAAAATTTTACTATGAACCTTTAAAGCAGTTCTTAGTCTATCCCCTGCTTATCTCACCGACCTCCTTCAGACTTACACTCCCTCTTGTTCCCTTTAGTCAGTCAGTTAGCCAGCAGGTCTACTGGCACAGCCAGTCATCAACCTCAGCACAATGGGTGCCAGGACCTTCTCCTATGCTGCAGCCAAACTGTGGAACTCCTTTCCCTCTCACAGCCGTATACAGGAATCTATTACAGATTTTAAAACTGCTCTTAAAACCCATCTTTTTGAACAGCATTAAATGCATCTTATTTTATAACGATTTTTTTAACTTATTGCTGCCCTGTTGTTTATTGTGTCTTATTGTTGATTGTAAGGATTTAATTATGTTTTGTAACATTTTGTTAATTGTATGTTTTTAATTGTATTGGTGTTTTATATGATGGAAGGTGACCTTGACTGACAGGAAAAGCCATTAAATAAAATGTATTATTATTATTTACTTTTTTGTTCCAAAAATGTTTTACTAATATTTTTCTTTGAATCTGCATGCTCCCTTGAGGTAAATGCAGGCTGCAGATCAGACTGCACACGACAGAAACAGTACAACAAAACAGAAAAACAAAAATAAGATTTGATACACGGACAACAACAACAAGCGTGTCCCAGTCATGTTCATCACTTTTTATTATCCTGTAGAAATAGTTCCCATTATTGTCTGTGCTACTTGGAGTGTTTCTGTATCTGGTTGTGTTTTCTGTATTTACAGTGTATTTCCTGGGTTGTCAAATTGATTGAAGATTTTCTTAATTTGCTAGTGTCTTGTCTATTTGCATGTGTTTTCTGAAGTTGCGGACTGCATTGAGCTCTCAGAGCCACTTTTTGCAAATAAAAAAACCCTACGACCAGCACTAAGCTAATTAGCAACTGGCTGATGAACATAATGGAGCATTTAGCAGCTAAAGAGCCACGTTCTTTTCTCAGAAGTGGGTGGAGAACAATCTAGAGCTAAAAAGAAATTGTTGGTGCCAACTCTGTTGCAACACTGGATGTGTTAGTAGGCTGTTGTTTAACCGTAAACCAACTTTATATGTCAATGTTGTGTTTACAGCTTGTTGGAAAAATATGAATAATGGTTGTCTATTTTTCTTAAAATTATAGTCTCAAGTAGTAAGACTAATGTTCAGATATTCAGCGGGACTGTGTAATGTGATTTCCCACCATGTGTTTCAGAGAACCCAACATATTTTAGTAGAAAATATTTCTCCTAGGTTGAAGTCTTTAAACTTTACCTTGACTAGTAGAGGTGTCTTTGATGTGGAGGTCACACTAATTGGTTGGCTATACAGTTATAATTTTTCCTCCAATATCTAGATTTCAAGGCTTTCTGGGTGGTCTCACTGCATATTTCAGTGATTGTGTGTGTGTATAGAACTGTGCAAAGTAAGCCAGAGGTGGGGTGGTTCACCTCTTAACGAACAATCAGTGTGCAGGATAAAAGAGTCCCTCCTCCTCTCTGATGTTGGGACTTGGTGATGTTATTATCATATACCTTTGTGGGGCTGAACTGATTAAACATGAATGGTTGTGAGGCACGGTGCCTCATTTGTGTTTTCTCTCTCGTGGGACAGTCAAGGGTAGTATGCATTTAGATGACAGCCTTTGGCAGTTTTTCCCACAAGACCAAGAATGTAAAGATTTTATTTTTCTCTCTACAGTCGGCCATCATGTCTCCTCCAGATCAATAGTATCATTTTGAACCAGATGAATAGTTGTTTTCCTCAGAGTGTAATAATGTAAATTCTGTTATTATTTATGTTATCCGGACGGGGGATTTCTGGGGGGCTTTTAGCAACATGTCCATCTGGAAACTCCATAAATCACCTCAGCGCTGTTGTCGTCATGCTGCCCTCTGTCTGTCTCTGAGGTTGTGTTCACTGGTGGCTGCTGAGCACAGTACAGTTGCCCGATATGGCAGCTACATTTTCAGCAGTTAGCAGAGATGAGGCAGAGAAGCTGGAGGTCGTCAGAGGAAAAAACAGGTAATATTAGTGTTACATGAAGACAAAAATATTGGATTTTGATATAAAAATATAAAGAAATTGAGTTTTTTGGCATACATTGTTAAATAGGGGTACAGTTTGACTGAGCATGCAATCTTAAAGGTTGAACTGGACTTGGTTACATGGAGCTGGTAGCTGAGTCTCATTTTTCTTTTGAGGGTGGACAATATTTTTCAGTCCTGTCAGACTGTGTTGGTAGCTGAGATATCAGCATTATTTTAAACTCTGTGTACCGTGTCAAATCTTCCCATTGGTTGCTCTGATGGTCACTGTTTTTATTAACAATATCCTGAAAAACTTCTGAACCGGGAAGCACACTGTGAAAACAAGCAACTGTGAGTTTTTAACATGGTGATTTTGATATTTTTTGCTTTTTCCCTCTGTTTTTATCTGGTGAAATACGCACAGTAATTGAGGTAGCCCACAATTTGAGGTACTACTAGCAGATTATCTGACTAATCTGACTAAATTTTATAGGGATAAATGGTAAAACTTAGAAACTAACTACTTATAAACTAAATTAGATTTTTGCTGATTTAGTTATTACTTTTTAATGTCAGTTTTCAGGAGCTTTAAAAAAGAACACATTTGAGAGAGATTGTTTGTATAAAATGTAGCATTCTATTGAAAATCTCTGATAAATCAGCGTGTTTTATGTTGTAGATGAAGTTGATCTGAAGCACACGTGTGGACACCAAGCACCCAGAACCAAAGAACAAACAGCATATCTGCTTGCATTTGGCCTCATACCTTGGGTTGAACGTCAAACCACTGGCTCGATCCTTTTGACAGGCTCCTCTCCACTGGCACCCCCCGCCTTCAGCAACACCTCTGTATCGACGGCACCCCTGTGATTACTGCCCAGGCTGCCAAACAAGCCTCAGAGATGTTAACAGCCGTCAGACGTGCAAGGCCATCATAGCAGCCCCAACCCTGCAGCTTTGCCTTCAACAGCCACTGAATCCGATATTACCTGATCAAGGGCTAAGTCTAGTTTGTAGTCAAGGCTCTAGTTGTCCCCCTATTTGGAGTTCCAGAGGGGCTCTCTTTTGGCCCTCTCAACTCCTCTTTCTGCAGCCAACCCCTCCCTCATCAGCAGTGAATTCTAACACAGCAACCACTTTCCTATGCTTCCTCTCGCATTAATTCCACACACTAGGAATGGCTTACAAGGCTAAGCAGGGTGCACTCCAATCTCTCCAGGACTTTCCATGCCAGCCAGTCTCAATAATTCTGCTCTGCCTTCCCTGAGGAGCCCTGGCCAGCACTCCTTCAGACCTTGATTCAGCTCCATACAGACTCCTCTCTGGTGGATTGACCTTCTTAATCCAGTCAGGAGTGCATACTCACTCCCTAGCTTCCAGTAAGGACTGACAGTCGGTCTTATTTAATTTCCTCCTTTTTTCTTTTTATCCAGGTGGTTGCCACTTGCACATCCAGCGAATACAGAGAAACAATAATATTCATGACAGATGTAAGAGATAAAAGGAGAATGTATTTGATCTTATTTTTCGCTCCACCAATATCTGCGTCTTTTCAATACAGCCAATGGATGGCGAGGTCTTGTTTTAGCTAACATCAACCATCAATTGTGGTACCTGGACATATTTTCTGAGGTGGTACACTGCGTACCACCTCAGAAAATATGTAAAAGGTTTGAGAAACTCTCAAAGTGTATTCTACAGTGCTGGCTTAGAGCTGAACAATGTACCACTGACTCCTGGATATATTTGTATATTTTATATTTGTCACCTCTTTAACAGATTCCATCTGTGCTCTGTCGTCCTACAGGGCAGAACCTATTCTGCAGCGAATAAAGGAGGACCGGACCCGGGTGGTGTCTCCCTCTTTTGACAACATCAAGTATGACACCTTTGAGATTGAGGAGTATCCGCTGTCTGCTCAGGGCTTTGACTGGGAGCTATGGTGTCGCTACCTCAACCCACCAAAATCCTGGTGGACACAACGCAACCACACAGCCCCTATCAGGTAAATACAGGAATTACATTAAAGTATTTCTGAGCTGAACGATTTTGTTTTGTGCTAAACAAGAGGAAGTGGAATTCAAAAATCATTAAAAAACAAACAAAGAAACCTGTTAGACAGTTTTGTTTCACTGAAGAAAATGTATTGTTATCACGAAAGAAGTGAGACACCAGCAAAATAATCTACCAGAGCAGTATTAATTATTAATAATTTGACTTGAAGCATATTGAAGTGGGTTGATAAGATCACTTGCTAAGCTCATTATTTTTACATTATAATTTCTTACACTAATCTGCATGAATAATTATTATGTATGTAAATTCTGGTAAGTGTAGTGTCAATATTCTAACCCATATAAAACCTGGGGGTTGCAGCACAGCCAAAAGCACATTAAGTGAAACATGTAAAAGTCTCATCAGAAGCAGTGGGCAATAACACAGATTTAAACAGGAAAGTAGATAATTTTTGTCATTCTAGGTGACCTACGGTGTGTATAGTCATTGTACACACTGTAAAATTGATATAATGATCCAGTTCTTCAATACCCTTGGCCAGGAAAACAGTGCCAATATGACAGATAAAGACAGCAGAGGCTACAACAGCCCAGCAACAACAGCAAAATTGCCTACTCACCAATGTGCGCAAGAGGGTAATACGTCTGTCGTTGTGGTTCATGGCAAGCCAATCAATGATGCAGTGTTTATAGATTTGGACAAAGACAAGAGGACATATCCTGCTCAATACTGTAATGGAGGAAGATGAATTCCCCCATTATTTATTTCTCCATCTCCGTAAGTACTTTTTCTCAGGTGCAATTTGTCCCTGGCTTTGCTCACAAGGACCACTTATTGTCATTGTGTAATCACTTTCAAGGCAGTTCAGTCAAAAAAATGACTAATTAAATAAAACCCCTTGAGGCAAATTGTGATTTGTGATACTGGGCTATTTTAAAGGACTTGACTTTACTTGACTCATTTCTGAAGTAAACACCTACACATATAATATATAGGTATATTTCATTTCATTTAATGATTAATGAGAAATAAACCTGAGTTGCAAACATATAGGGAATGTGCACCACTAAAGCATTATTGGCTGTTCTCTGGCCTTCTCCTAATGTAGTTTTCACATGAAACTTATTTCTAAAAAAGCTGTAAACGGACAACCTGGTAATCTAGTACTCTGGTAGTAATCTGGTACAAAGCCCCCTTAGTGAGGCAAGGGGGAGCTGAAGGGCAGGTTTACAGTAAGACAAGGATACTGTGTGAGGTGAATTTGAGTTGTACTCCCTCTTTGAATCGTAACTCTGTCAAATCTTAACGGACATGAAACAGATATTGGTATATGTGATACATCTCTAGTGCCAATCACAAATAAACATCCATAAATCTGCTAAGGCATGTCAGAAAAAAGACCAAATTTTGCACTTTTCGTAAAGTGATGGTTGTGCAATTATGAAGTACTAATAGCTAATTCAGCATACTTTTAATAGTGCGAGTTTGCTGAAGGACAAGCAGTTCAGGAAAAATATCCAGATCCAAAATCCCTCTGTATGGGATTTAAAATACAGTATAGTAGGCAATTGTGGCTAATAGCATAGTTAGTGTGAGTGGTAGTGAAAAATGAATCATGTTCCGGACAGGTTCAAAAATAATGTTAAAATCACCTACCTCTAAAGAAAACCATCAATGCCAACACCCACTTAGCACCTCTGCATTGATTTATTAAGAAAGTCAACATTTCGGTCACAAGGTTCTTTCTCAAGACATTTGCTTGAATTGATTTGATTCTGTATACAACAAAAGAGACCATGCAAGTGGTGTGCGTGTTGCTTTGTGCTTATCAAAATCACCCACCTCCCCTAGAGAAATAAATCAAATCCATGTTAACACATTTAAATCTCTCCAGGTCTGCTAGCCCCATTTGTGACCTCAGCACTCTGTACATCACTTTGAGCACATAGCATTCCCTGAACAAACCTTTATTAAAGATAAAAGGGTTGCTAGGGAGGAACATTTCAATCCAGTATTTTCCATAGAGGGAGAATATGTGATTTAAACACTAGTTTCATTTTCTAATTCCAGCAGAAAGTTGACCCTTTTATTTAATTAAAAATGACTTTGGAGCTGTTTTATATTTATAACCATGCTGGAAAACCAAATGCCAATGAATTATATTCTTTATTTATAATGACGTGTGTTATGGAGAAAACAATTTGTGTTTATTTCATGAATCTGAAGCTGCATGTGTTTGCTGCGTAGCTCTTTATCTCATGTACTCAATATTCTGTACTATAAAAATTATATTGTTGAGACTGAACAGTATAAAACACACTGATGTTTGATATATTAATAGTAATATCATTGTGCTGTTATCTGGAAGCTGTAGAGAAAAGAATATATTCAGAGCCGGTGGTGGGAGGGTCTCGTTTCTATTAGCATTTTGGGTTTCAAAATTTCTGGCTGTTTGCCAATCTGCGTATCCACAGGGATAGAGAAATTCACCCAAACAAGCTGTTTTTGCAGCGGTGTTGTATTTCATATTGATAACAGGAGATGTGTGGGACTGACAGCATGAATACTAATAGGAGTTATTTTTCTTTCCTGTTGATTCAGTTTGATGTTGATGAAAGATCTGGTTGCTTTCCCCCCACCGATTTCCTCAAAATGTCCTGAATTTGTTGTGTTAGGCGAGGGCTTCATTTTGACAGCTGAATCATTTGTAAGTATAATGTACGGCATAGGTTTATCATGAAAGACTAAGGCCTGTGTGTAGAGCATAAAATGTGCAGCACACTTGAAAAATAGATCTTGGGGGCCTTGATGCCCAGTGTGGGGCTAATTGTAGGTTAGGACTGTGTTGTGTGCATGTCTTGAAGAATATTTTGCATTTAAACCCCCTAATTGCTATGCATTTTTCTGGAAAAAACATTTATTTTTTTACTTCTTTCTTTTCTCTGACCTCCTCTCTTTCCTCCCTTCACCCTCTATTTTAGGAGCCCTGCTCTGATTGGCTGCTTTGTGGTCGACAGGAAGTACTTTGAGGAGATCGGCCTGCTAGACGAAGGCATGGAAATTTACGGTGGAGAAAACGTTGAGCTCGGCATCAGGGTGAGTCAGTTTAAGAACCAACACTATACATTTCTGCACTACAGCATGCAGCCCTCAATGGACTAAAAATATCTGTAACAGTGTCATTTGTGTCCTGTATACCGTAGAGGCATCCACCATTGTCACCTTCCAAATTGAAATATCCTGAATAGCAGACATGTCCAGCATGCAGAAAAAGAAGAATGACCTTTCCTTTGACAGAATGGGGGCTTTATCAGTCATTCACATTATTCATTCAGCCTGACTCAAGCAAACTGAGCAGATTACTAATGATGTAACAACTGCCAGATAACACTGTGACTCAATGGAATAAAATTACATTAGAAATTACTTTTTATTTTCATGGACATTTATTACATTATGATGAATACATTTTTTATTTTAGTTAGTTAGCATTCACAGGTTTAAAATCATTCTCAGCCCGCTTAATGAGGTAATAACATAAATAGTTACTGCACATCTCTAAACTAGTCTCCAGAGGCACAAGGCTGCAAAAGCACCATCCTCTTGAGACTGCAAATCAGTCCCAAGAGGACACAACTGTTGGAAAAGCTTTGAGACTGTATGTACACAAGAGACATTCAAGGGAAACTGTTGACTCAGGTTTAGTGCATAGTGATTTACAGTGTTGTGTCAGGGCAGTACAGGTTTGCTCATCAGCCCAGGCCTGACTGACGCTGATCCAAGCCACTGGGTTAAGAACAAAAAGGTATAATTCTCTCAGGCTTGACCACATAGGGTTCAGATTTAGTAGTATAGGAGAAGCTGATTGTTGTGATTGTTGTACTGTGCTTTCTATACTCAAAAAGAAAAACACATAATGCAATGCAGCCACACTGTCATTAAAGGTCCAGTGTATAATATTTGGGAGCCTCTATTGGCAGAAATGGAATATAATATTCATTCGTTAGAGTATAATCACCTGAATATTGAAATGGTTATGTTTGTTTTTTTACCTTAGAACAAGCCATTCATATGTACAGATGCCACAGGTCATCTTCCATTGAGGCCGCCATGTTGAACCACCAAGTTTCTACAGTTCTTCAGTTTTTCCTTCGCACTTGGAAGGGGAGGGTGAAGCAAGGGAGTTGCAATCTATAGATACCACTAAATCCCATACATTGGACCTTTAAGGTCAGAGAAAGATCATGGTTGGGTCTCTCTGGTCTTCTGTATAAAAGTCGGACTACCTACACGCCCATCAGCACCCGGACCTACACACCCTTATAGTTGCTACATGAAGAGCACACTACTTCTGCAAATCTCCCACTTTCCATATGGTGTGAACTTATAAACTATATCTAGAATGATCCTCAGGAGCTGTGCTGCTGCTGACAGCTTGTTCTGTGGGCAGTGACGGCCAGATAGAGGTCAGATTTGCAATGAAGGCATGGAAGCAGTATTGTCAACTTAGCAATGCTAATATTTTGCGCGGAAATCGGCAATTTATGCGGCGAAAGTGCGGCGTATTTGAAAAAATGCGCCCCCCCCCCGCATAAATATGCGGACTTTGGCTGATTATGCATTGAATTATGCGATCGCATAATCGCGTTTTTCTGGAAGGACTGACCAGATAGTTTGCTACAAAGAACTGTCTTGGAAGTTGTCATTGGAAACTGTATGGAAACCACCATCTATCACCGTCTTTCACAGTCTTCAAACCACCAGATCTTTTCTATTGAGAAAACGCTAAAACCCCCGTAGCTACCAGTACTTCCTGGTACCACTATAGTTAGACCGCAAACGTATATAGATTGAAGACTGGCAAAATGTATTCTTGAGTGAGCTTGGGATTTTGTGATCACGCGAGTCCAGCTGCCTCACAAGGTTACGTCTTTATACACCAATCAGCCTTGACATTATGACCACCTGGGAACCCTGGTGGTCATAATGTTATACAGCCCCATACCAACAAACTGTGATGCATCTGATGCGTCTAGCAATCACAATTTGGCACTTGTCAAAGTCGCTCCAGTCCTCACGCTGCCCTTTTTTTTTTTCTTCTAACACATCAACTTTGAGGACCGAAGGTTCACTTGCTGCCTGATATATCTCACTGATTGACAGGAGCCATGATCACCAGATAATCTGTGTTATTCACTTCACCAGTCAGTGCTCATAATGTTATAGCTGATCAGTGTATATACAACAGGCTTCATAAAAACTATATGCACTTAGAGGTAGAGTGAGATTCATACTTAATCTTTTTAACTTAATAGTTAAGTAATTACATCATGGATATTTAAACTTAGAGACATCTGAACTCTTTGAGCAGGCTTTAGTAACTTCTCTTTGAAAATAGATGACAACACTGTATGGAAGGTTCAAAGGTACTTACCATCAATGTATCACCTATGTAACATGTTTACAGAACGTTATGTACAGGGTAACGGTAGGGACGAAAGAGCTGAACAAGCAGGCATCTATCACTGTCCTTGGTGGCGGATGTTTCTTGCTTGGAGAGAGTGGCAAAGTTTCCACAGTAATTGTATGCCGCTATCCACCTCCCTTAATGCAGATTGCCCTCCACCGAGTGTGAATTCATACAGTCACACTGTAGTGAAAGGCTTAGTGAGTAGGAATCAGTTTGGATCAGTCAGGTTGCAGCGTCAGCAGGGGCTGCGTGGGTTCATCTTCAACTCAAACAAGCAAAGGATTCTATAATATGAATTATGGCACTCGAAATATTCTATTTAAAATGGCTTTGACCTGATATCATAAACATTATATGATGTCATGAATATAAATGACTAAATCTGCCAAAGGCTTAAAGTGTCCTGTTGTTTCGGCACATTGTGGGTCATTGCCAGTAATGTGTCTTTCTCTGGCTCATAAAAAGCTTTTGTGCAGGGCTCGGCCTTGACTTTCTCCATAGGAAGCTTGAATGTCAGACCTCTACAGTCAAGCATTACGAGTCTGATAATGGCTTTCTCCTTAGCGTCTCGCAGTGCAGGGACCATGAGTGCTTCTGCAACATACAGAGAGGTTATTCTCTATTATATAGCTCTTTTTGGCATATAATTCTTCAGTATAAACCCCTACTGTAGAGACAAATTGCTTGGACACCTGTTGACAGTACCACAGAGGGGACTTGGATGGCTTATTCAACATAGCATAAGCTGCGAGGCCACGAACAGCCGGTCTCTCTGTGGGAGGAGATCTCACCATTGCCTGACGACCCCAGCAGTTCGTGTTTTTCTGACCCACATCAGATGCTCCCTCCAGCTGTCGGCAGTTCTGCCAACATTACACTTTACCCTATGCACTGAAAGAGGGCCAAGCGTCATGCACAGTGCTGCGAATCAGTTGCCCTCTGCAGCTATGACAACAAACACTGAACTGAAATGAACCCATTTTGGTGGAGAGACACTTCAAAGCTACTGTTGAGCTTGTTGTGTGGTTGTTCGCACATCAGGGTTGGTTCAGGGCGGTCTAGAGCTGGAAAGATTTACCCCCACCTATCTATCTGTATGTGAGGTTTTTGAAAGGCAACAAAAGGTTAGCAAGAACATCAGTCAGCGTATTGACATTTCTTTTCCACGGCAAACACTTCCAGTGCCACAGGGGTATTTGAAGTCAGAAGCTGACATCAAATATAGCCCCAACAAGACCGCCTAGACACACACAAACACATCATCAGTGTTAGTTATTTCATACCACAGTTTTGACTATAAACACATCAAGAATGACAAGAAAAAGTCAATATTTCCATTTTTTGCTACAGTAGCAGACTGCATCTCAAAAGAGCCCTTTGCAGATCAATGATTATGTAAATCAGCAGTGATATTTTGACAGAATCAGTTCTGCATACGTGTCTCAAGGGCATTGCTCTTACTCTAACTAATTCATCATGTGTTGAGTTCAACCCAGGGTTTAAGTCAGAAACCAGCCAGTTTGTTCTATTTCTATCTCCCTCATGCCAAACACAGGCGCCTTTTGTTATCAGCGATGTGATTTTTTTCCCCCAGTTTCTGCAGAAGTGCTCCGTATCTCTGGTCTGCATGCTCCTATTGTGATAAAGATAACTTTTATGGAGCTTCATCTGCGCCATGGCCTAATATTGTGAATATTTAGTGCTCATTGTCTCATGCCGTCTTTTATCGCAACGGGCGGTCGTCCTCAGCATGATTTATAATTCACAACTTCATTTGTTGTTGCCTTTTGCCTCTCATTTTCTCATTAAAACTTTTAAAAACACAAGTCCACGAGCAAGATTTGTTCCGCGTTAAACCAAAGAAGACCGGCTGAGAGACAATTAGGGATGTAAATGTGTTGTGTTTTGTCTGGGTGACACACATACAAATCAACCAAGTTACAGACACTGCATGACAACGCACACACATAAACTGCAACTACTCAGCGTCACAATGATGTTCCATGGTGTTTTTGGTAATAGTTGGTGCATGACCCCGTTTTATCCCACAGGAGAGGGTTTTTTGTTAAGAGAGAAGATAAAACAAAAAAAAGGAAAAAGGCTTTTGGAAAGGATGACTCAAGAAGATGAAGAAAAGCTGTTCTATTCTCTCTCCCCCACTATTTCACTTTCTTCTTCTCTCTATACTTCCTGCTTTATCTCCTGTCACTTTTATCCCTTCACCTTCTCAGTTTTATGTTTCGCACTCTTTCTGAATCTCTTTTCTTTCTTTTCACTGTCCGCTTTTTCTCTCGTCTCATTCTCTATCTCGCTCTGCACACCCACACACTCAGACATAGATTGTTATGCTCGAAGAATAGCTCCTTATACTCTAACCCCGTGTTGTAAATCCTTTATAGAGAACGTTGAGGTATTTCCGAGGGAAGCGTGTATTATCTTAGAATTTGGCTTTAGTTTGTGCTCCTGCCTGGGCGCTGGGCCAGTGCTACAGTTTTACTGTTGTTCTGCAGAGGCTCTTTGCTTTGGAAGGATACAGGGAAGGAGGCTGGCCGGCAGGAGGGATTATAGCGCAAACACATAAACAAAGTCCACGACTGGAAAAGAGAGCACAGGCGTTTCTATTTAAATCAGCACTCTCCAGCGCTTGTTTGGTTGGTACACTGAACTCCTAAGGTGCCTGATGCAGAATTTTTGCAGTGCTATCATGGAAATTAGTATTGGTTTACTTCAAAAAGGAAATATACATCTGCTTGCTGCTGACAGTTTGTAGTTGAAACATGTTGAAATAATTGAAACATTAAAATGGAAGTGCTGGAATAAGTTTCAGTGTTAATATTAGTTTACTGAGTTAAGTTTGAAGATTCAGTAGCACTGAAGCCCTGAAAGATGTTGAAATCCCCAAAGGTCCCAGTGAGCACCAACCAGGATGTCAACTTTAATTTCCAAAACTGGCTGATCTTCAGTCTGAATGTCTAAGACCTCTTTTTGCCCTCTTTTCAACCAGCTTAAATGTGGTTACAACCTCAACCACAAATTTGTTCAACCATTCTGATAATTTGTTCAGTTGTCGGTTGACAGAGAGAGAGAGACAATGGCTGCAAAAGACCCTATCAACAGACAGTGTTTGGTTTGTCTGTTCTGGGCTACTGTAGAAACATGGCGGACTCCATGGAGGGCAGCCTGCAGTGTCCGTAGATAAATACATACAATATATATTATAGGTTCTCGTAAATGTTACACACTGGACCTTTAATGTTTTATATAAAATGTAAAAAATATGGAACTATATAGGCTGTGTGCTGCCAACAGGAAGCTTCCAGGACATCACAGTGGGGAATAATGGGAGAAGTACATATTCATGTAAAATAAGAAATTGCGCCTACTGCTGTAAGGTACGTGTGCAAGTACTGAGGCGTATTGGTAACAGCATCGACTACTCTGAAGGCATATGCACTGGGACTTGCAATATTACTAGAAGTCAAAGTATATTGTAGAATTATAGTATAAAAAATGTCCATCCTGGCAGGAGAATGTATTGGATGAGTAGATTAAACACATAGACAGATGACTGGGGTTTGGCTCTGTGTGAGGGAAGATTTTATCTTTAAACTGGCTTTTGACTGAGAAATTTGGATATAGTTTTAGGTTCCAAAGTGACGATAGGTTATGATTTGCATATTATAGAGAATGAAAAATGTCACTACTGGAAATCACAGTGAAATACTGTATGTTCTAAATGTGAATGTTTAATCAACGGGTACAGATAGTCGGTGAAAAAACTGTCACTTTTGAACCAATTTGGTAGGTCTTCTCACCGGTGAATGTCATGTTTGAATGTCTTTTCAACTAAAAAAGGTTGCTGCGGTTGATAAATGGAGCTGTTATCACTGAAAGCAGATGGGCTGTCAGTTAAAGAATAACCGATGCAACAGTGCAACTGTCAGATGAAGATTAAGAAATTAACACAGGTTAAAAAAAAGTCATTTGAAGACATATGAAAGATATCAAAGCAGCTGAAATTTCAGTTGAAATCATTTGAAGATTTTAACGCAGGCTGGTGCCTTGGCCACACATGGAGCTCATTTACCTGTAACATGCATAAATACCTGTAATATAGCTGAACTAAAATTAAATAGGCCTATTATACTTTCTGTCAAAGCATGCCAAACGGCTGCACACTTAGTTGCATTCATAGTGAACCAAATCCTAACATTTATTTCATATTTCATGAGCATGCCATGATGCTAACTAGGTCTGTGTGTAGACATATTTGACAGCTTCCACTGTCAACAAAATGTTAAACATAGCCACCACCTGGGTGGGCACTCTCACTGAGCTCCTGTGATACCTCTCTATTCACACTAATTCTATCAAGCAGGTTGAGCCGCAGCAGCAAGAATTTAATCCCCTATTCAGTCGTTTAACTGGCATGTACCAGGCAGGTACTAAAAATATCCATACCTTTTATTTTGGAAGTCTCTGCAGTCAATAATCTGTGTGCATTTTTTTTGTGTGTGTAACATAGGTGTGGCAGTGTGGCGGCAGCGTGGAGGTCCTGCCCTGCTCCAGGATCGCACACATCGAGCGTGCCCACAAACCCTACACAGAGAACCTGACAGTCCATGTGCGTCGTAACGCTCTGAGGGCGGCTGAGGTCTGGATGGACCAGTACAAGAGTCACGTCTATATGGCCTGGAACGTTCCACTACAGGTAAACAGACAGTGCACGTGTGTGTTGGGAGTTTCAAACTGTGCTTGTTCTCTGAGTGTGTGAGGGTGTGTGTGGGCGTAATTGTGCACATGCTTATTTGTGTTCAGAAACTGTGTCACGAATCTCCTAGCAACCATGACTAGTTCCATCATGGAGGTCCTCTGGAGAATCATTTGTGCTTATCAGTGTGGGTACACACTACAATAATTCATTTTGTAAACCAAGGTCCAGCAAAACTGTCCGGACCAAATGCTTCATGATGCTTCACGTTTTTGTCTGTACAACCGCAGACGACTGCACTGATCTTCACACTGGCCTTTCACAGACCTGGGGTTGATGTCGTGGACATTACATCCATTTTTAATTATATAGTCTATGTTTCGTTCCCAGTGTTCCATATGCAGATCTCTGAGGCTTCCCTTCCTGTCCGCCACAGTGACTTTTTTTTTTATAGTACCACTGTGCGGCAACAGACTCAGAAATGTTAACCTGGGGCCCTCACAGCTCACCTGGTAGCGCTGGCGCCCCATGTGCCAGGTCTAGCCTGTGGCCCTTTGCAGTGCGTCATCCTTTTTCTCCCCCTTTCATGTCTATCTTAAGCTATCCTATCAAATAAAGGCAAAAAAGTGACCTTTAAGTAGAAGGTGAAGATTTATTCTATTCTATTCTTCTTTGCTGCTGTTAAATGTGTCTCTCTTCACAGTATGTCTCCAATTTCTTGCTATTAACCGTGCCTATTCAATATACCTTTCAGAAACAATGCTTACAACTACTGTTATCTAATGTAGGGCTTCAAATAAACAACTCTTTTAATATTTCTTTTCTATTATTTATTTTGTTTTCTATGAAATGTCAGCAAATATTGGAAAATGCCCTCCGCAATTTCCCATAGTCCAAGGTCTCATTTTGTTTGAGATTGTTTTCTCAAGTTTGAGAAACTGGAAGCAGCAAATGTTTGAAATCTTGCTTTGACTTAAGCAAATAATCAATAATCAGATATTTTTGATTATTTTTATCACAACTAGCGTTTTTCCACTGAAGGCTGAAAACTCTTCTTTTCAAAAGCATCCTCAGTTCAGCTTCTCTTTACTGAATGAAATCCTTTCTTGCTGTGATCACTCTTTAAAGAGCACCTTCAGACATTTGTTATGAAATATATTCTGCTTAGGACAATAGTGTGCGTTTGATATGTTTTTCCACAAAAAAGTAAAATCCTTACAAAGGCATCTTCTTCACCTCCTTCCTCATCAAAAATTCCAGAATTTATGAACATGCTAATTTAGTTCATTTCTAAATATTTCCTGCCGGACACAAGATGTCTCCTACTTCACTGTAAAGTCCATTCTCAGTGGATGTGCACTGTGGGCTTCAAGTTTCTGCATCACACTGTACAAGCTATACCAGGACCAGCTGGAGCAGGACTGACTTCCAGACTATTTGTGATGTCACAAATAATACTCGTAGGCTTCGCCCCTTAAAAATCAGACTTTCAATGAGCACAGAGAAACTTTCCACTTTCAGCAGACGAATGTGAAAACATCCTTCTAGTGTCCATCTCTGCACATACATCATTCTGCACAGTGAAGCTCAACCATTCAACTGGAACAAGGAGAAAAATCTATTTTGAGGGGAGGGGGACTTACACATTTCTTGGTGTCTTATTATTTTGAGCTCTCACATTGCCATTCTAAGCACGCAGTTGTGCTGAAATGACCCTGAGGCCCTGAATTCTGAACTCATTATTTTTGCTTTCTTGCAACACTGGAGATTAAGAAGTTGAAGCTTATTGTACTTATTGTTTTGCCCGAGGTTAAAGTATCCCCAAAATGTAAACTCAGATGTGTTTGTCTTTATTTCCTTGTCTAGAACTCAGGAATAGACATCGGGGACATTTCTGAGAGAAAAGCCCTGCGAGCCAGACTCCAGTGCCGACCTTTCAGCTGGTTCCTCTCCAACATCTACCCTGAGCTCCGATCCTACAGCGACACAGTTGCTTACGGAGTGGTGAGTTCATTAGTTCTCTGTATTCGTAAACATTTCCAATGTGCAACCTCAATCTGAGTAAATTAATTTATCATTACACTGAAAGATGAGCTTGTTAATTAAAATACACTGCTAGACATTGGATATAGGAGCCTACAGGAACAAGTCCACAAAGTCTGGATCCCAGCCCGCAAATTGAGAAACACTACACTGTACTGCTCCCTCAGTCTCTGCTGGTTGCTGCACACGCAGAAACTCCTCAAAGCAGAACATAAAGTATTCAGGAGTATTTGAATTCATTATGAAACTCCTTTAGCTCTGTCAAAAATTAATATGCCTTTGTTGTGGCAATTTACCAGCAAGGAATTTAAAAAATGTGTGAACATATTTTTTCATTTGTCTTTTTTTTGTCACATTTCAGCCAAAAGGCAACAGTGTTTTCAAAGACACTTAATGGTGGGCTCCCACAATTAAGGCATTTTTAATGAGATAAAGGAACAAAACTGTATCTCTGCGGTCATATTTTCAAGTGTTGTGATTACCCTATTTCTTTGAGGTTGGCACTATATTTCTGGGTTCGAATATTTTTTTCACTCAGGCTGTAAATTTTCAAGTAAGCAGTAGTGGAATTTTTTGTCTTTAAGCTTTACCTAAACACGCATTAACAGTTTTTATGGGCACTCGGGGGCAGCGGAACAGCAACAAACAATTCAGCTGCTAAACCCTCCACTATGTAACCAGCTAGGCACTAACTGTGAGCTGTTTCCTGCTGGACAGCAGGTTTATCAGAGCTGTCTGCTGCAGCTGGGACTGATGCTGATGAGAACGGTGAGAGAGAACCAAAACAGTCTTTGTTCTGACTTTAGGGATAATAAAAAGACCTGAGGACCTGAGGGTTCTAAGGGGTTCATAGTATAAAAGCAGATCTGCTACAAAAATAGGACTATGACCATTAGGAGTTTTATAAACCAATAATAGGACCTACTCTAGAGCATTACAGTAATAATCCTGCAGGTAATAAAAGCATGCATTAATGTCTGTGAGTGAGAATATATATTATATATATTCACTGCTGCTAGATGTTGCACTAGAGCACCAGCATCTCAGACCAAAACAACTAGACACTACTACTGCCAACCAAACTCCATTGTCATTTTACCTTGCATATAGTTGTAAAACACACTTGAAACTGGACTCAACAGAATAAACACCCCACCAAAATTGTCTTTGTTAGTCTTTCCACTGTTCCAACAATTACCAGCTCGAGTTTGGTCGAAATAAATCCATAATTTTCCGACATAGATGAGAAAAACCTCAGTTTCAGGTCGCTCTCCTCACCTGCACACTGAGGGACTCACATGCACCAACGTGCATGCACGGCCAGACTGGATCAGTAAACAAATCACAATGAGGCTGAGATAGAAACACAGGACGCCTCTGCTCCGATATATCTTTACATAGCTGTTTGCTGTAATCATAATGTTTAAGATTTCATATTTATAACCTTTGAAGTGTTTTGTTGTGTGGCTATTATCTGGGTTGTCCGTGGTTACCAAAATAAAAATCATATACAAACCGACAAAAATGAATTTAGTCTAATCTGCTTAAGCACTGACATTGCACAAACACCACCTCATGACTAAACATTTCCATTAAACTTTTCCAAGTATTTCAAGCTGTAAAACTTTTAACTTTTCCATTAACGCAGAGTCTAATTGCACGCACAACATGGGATATATGCTTCTCTGCTTTAAGAGCTCACTTCAAATCACAGCAGCGGGGTATTGAAAGGGTGAACCTTTTTACGCCACTTAATTTCTGTATGGCTAGTCCTCTCTTCAGCTAACGGCTGTGGGAGGATTTTGCATAATTGAAAATTGACAGTCATCTGTTGAAAGCTGAGCAGAATTATCCCACCGCTCTACTGCTCCTGCTGATAGAAGAAGAGGAATAAGTACTTCTTTGCCGAGTCCAAGTGCTAATAATTTATTAATTTCATTTTTGATTGTGATTTTTGATTGCAGTTTCATTTTAACCTTTAAACTCCTAACTCGAATGAAGATGTAGTTTGAGTCATCTGTCTTCTGCGAGCTTGAATGCAGACTGAAAATTACCATCACACAGAACCTATTTCCTTCAGGTTGAATAGGTCTTATTCTGTCAGCTTTATTGACTCTGCATGACTTCAAGTCTGTCACTGAAGAGGAAAGAAGTTATGAATTGATGGTGTGTGTGTGTGTGTGTGTGTGTGTGTGTGTGTGTGTGTGAATATGGTTCTACTCAGACATTAGCAGCAACTCAGTCTCTAGCTCTGAACACAACCTTCGTGCCACCCCTTGTGTTTGTTGTTCAATAAACACTTCAATCACAGTACGAGCTGGATTGAGTTATTTGTTGACTCTACTGAGCATGTGCGGGGGCTCGGCTCTGAGCGCGTGAGATGAAAGCATTGCCACAGTGACATCTGAGAGATGTAGATATGAAGTTTACATATTTGACAAAAACACACTCTCACAGGAGATAGCAGTTGGAGAGAGAACAACAAGTGTTCTGGTGTGATGCCATCTGTGGATGCTGTTTATACACTCATCTCTTATTTAACATGAAACATAAGCTGGATGACTCCACGGTTGCACACACACGGAAAATATTGAACAAAGAAGAGATATTGAGACTTGTAAAGCCACTGGGTTGGTTGATGTTTTCAGCTAAATTCAGAGATTATCAGTCCGCCCAATGCTTGTATTTTCTGTAACTTCTGTCCCAACATAAAGTTCCCCAAAAGTTGCTAAAATGACATATTCCAACCTTTAAACTAAAGGGGACGTGAAGTCTAGCCTGTTTCCAATTTGGAACCAAATGTATTTTCAGAGTAACCTAACGCCACCTGAATCACGTCTTTTAACAACATAATGAGGAAACATTTTTAGCTATGCTAGCATCATGGCTCTAGGGGTGGCAATGTCAGTTTATTGGTCACCCAGTCCACCATTTTGTTCCAGACTGAAAATATCTGTCAAACTAAGATAGATGGTGAGCATGGTAAAGGGTCTACCTGTAACATCATCATTTTAGCAATGTCATTGTGAGTATGTAAGCATGCTAACATTAGCTCCAAGCACCGCAGTGCCTATAGCCATACAGAGCCGTTAGCATGACAGTAGGCCAAATGTTCATTATCATCATGTTCAGTATCAACAAAACATTCATTAACAACTTGTAATATTTGTTTTAATTCAGTACCTGCTCTTGCAATACATAATCTGAATGAATGATTAATATTTAGGCCCTCAAAACACCTTGGTAAAGCACTGGGGAAGATCTGGTTAAATATTGAAAAGGTTACTGAAGGCACAGAACAATGTTTACTTTATAAATATATAACCAAAACCACAATCTGTCACTAAGCTTCAACAAAGTTTTGTTGCCTAAATCCAACCACACACATTATTCCGGAAACAATGCCCTTTTCCATACACATGTGCTGGCCTGCGGCAGAGATTTACATATCCATTACAAGAGGGCTACCAACTTGAAGGTGTGCCTTTTAAAGGAGCAGCGATGGTCGAGAGAGTTTAAGGGCGTGTCCTCATGAATACACAGCCTCACCCAATACAATGTTGTTTCGAAAAAAATCTCCGTATACACAGCGTCGTTTCCAGAAATATCTGCGTCCACATGGATTCACTGAAACGACCCAAAACGCTGTAGTACATATGACAGGCCTGTATGTGGCGCTGTGACGCCGCAACACCAATACACTAAAACCGGAAAAGAAGCCATGGAGCATGTGCTGTTTACAAACAAGTAGTAGTAGTCCGCCATCGTTGTTGTTGTTATGTCTAGCAGCAGCGGCTGAGGTTAAAGGCTAGAGAGGCGGGGCTTATACGTCATTGTTTCGGAAAAAATCTGTTTCGCCATCCTGACGACTCCGGGCAATCCGACGTTTTCAGATTTTCCCACTCTGGGACCCGTTTCCAAAAAATACAGTTTTCACACCCCGAAAACGCCGTATCCGTCTGGACGCGAGGCCGATACGATAAAGTATTTATCCGGAATCGAGAAAAGCGTATTCATGAGGACAGGCCCTAAGATTGAATGAACAGAGGGAGTGTGAGAACAAAGCAGTGAAGCAAATAAACAAGTGATCGTTTCAGAGCGGTTACGTACTAAAGCACAAATAAACGCAGCCACCTTCCTCCCGGCAGTATGTAGACTTTTTTTTTTTGCCGTTAACTAAGCCTCGCTAATTCGGTTATAAACACATTTATTTCCTATAACACCTTCACAATAAAAGCCTGTGGTTATCTTGCTATTTAAAAACTTTTATTATTAAGCAGCAAAATCAAGAAATATTGGGTTTTCATCAGCACCGATGTGAACATGAAACAGTAAAATAAAGCAGATAACTGAAGGTACAAACAGATTCAGTTATAAACTACAAAAGCACTGAGAGCACTCAGAGACTTGAACGTCTGTCTGTCTGGTCTCCTGTACACACGAGTTGAGTCTGGGAACATACGCTTATTTGAGGGAGACAAGGGGTGTCATCACAGGTTGACCGCAGTCAGTGAGACATCAACGCAACCCACTTTGAGGTGGTCAGGCACGCGTTGGCCCGACTCTTGGGCGCGTCTTGGCACAACTTTAAGGCGCATTTAAACTGGTAAACCCAAATGAGCTATAGTCTGACTTGGTGCGGCCGAAAGGGCTGATGGAAACCCCTAAAAGTCCTTTCTTCACTCTGATATACAGTATGTTGCCACTGAACATAATCCATGCATCAATTACATTTCCCTCAAAGTGTATTTGGCAAAATAAATAATTTGTACAATTTCTAGGAGACAGAGTTGCAAACACAGCCCTTGATGTTTTGGAACAGCAGGTCTTTGTTTTGACAAGCATTCACCTTACTATTGTGCCCTTGAGCAAGAAACTAAACCCCTGCCAGCTCCATGGCTGCTGCTATGTAGCTGAGCCTGGCCTTTTGACCTCTCTGTGAAATGGGGCACGGGAAAAGATAAATTTCCCCTGGGGATCAATAAAATATCAGATTATTGAACCACTGTAATAAGTGTGACAGTATTGTGAGATAATGTGAAATAGAAAGCTCAGCTTGGCCCTCAATAGTGGATCAAGAACTGTGCGGAAACCTCCACAGGAATGTATGTGACATGACTGTAGAGGAGCACAGAGAGGTGGAGGGTTGCAGCAAGTGAACTGAGGTAGAGATCAGTGATCTATCTAAACAGCGAGTGAGATGACTGGGCACTATTCAGCAGATGAAAAGAAAAAGCTTTTGCATTCGTATGTAAAAGAGATTATTACAACTCATAACCTCCAAATATTGCACATTTGGGACTCAAGTTTAGTATCAGCCTTTTCATGCAGCTTTAGATACTAATGTTTGTATTTTGCTAACATTTATGAGGAATGGTAAAGCAGACCACAGAGCTTGAATTGACAAACAGTCATTTCTATTCAAATCACTACTTTTTAAAGGTCACTTGAATGGCAGGCTTAAGATGGCCGCCACAGACTGTTTACAATGCTGTGGAAGTGAAGGTGTAGGACGTGAGGCTCTGAAAGCTGAACTTTTACCCCACCAGATCATGAACATTTCAAAGGCAGCTATAACATTTGAGCTTTCTGAATGGGTTTGTGCATTGAAGTAACTGCTGTCTCTGAAATAATCCCATAACACTATACATGTGCTGCTATTAAAGATGCATTAATGAATATTTTTACCTAACATTTGAGAGAATTAGAGTAGTGGTAATGTAAAAGGGGTCACCAGCAGTGACAAATCCACAGACAATTATCACCCAACTCTGAAGCTCTACTGACCTTAAGCCTCTTTTATTTCATGGTTCCGGCTTTACAGCACATTTACTGTTTGGTTCAGTGTCACTGCTCTCATCACCTTTTGTCCAGCATCAGCAAGCAACTGTTTCCAGGAAAAAAGCTCTAATGAACCTGCCATACACTACCTGCCCAACACCAAACAGCACACAGAGAAAGTTTAACCACAACTAGCAGTTATCATTATATTCTGACCAAATCAGGCGTTGGGGCAATTAGCCGGAGGCTGGCGTGGCGGCTTGGGGGTGTTTATTTGTGCTTAGGATATAACCACCGTGAAACAATAAATGACTGTTGTTAGCGCAACATCACGTTCAATCAGTCTATAGTTTAGAATGCCTCGGAAAATTGGAATTACACTGCTTATCAAGTGTTCACACTGCAGGTAAACATGGCCCAACATGATTTCTGTTTATTTATTTATTTAGTTTTTATCTCAGATATCTATATCAGATTCGAGGTGACATTTAAGTCACTCTAGATCAACATTCATCACAATTCTGCACAGGCTGGAGTCACTTGGTGAATGCAAACATGAAAGACGCCACGATAGAAGTCAGTGGAGGGACAGTGAATTACAGCCAATTATGGTACAGAAAACCAAAACTGCTAAAAGAGGAGCTAAAAGAGGCTATACAATTCTGTAGAGCTGAGTCGGGCGATTGCTCTGTGGGGTGGTCACTACAGTACAAATTTTCCATTTTCCCACAGAAGTAGTCATGTGATACTTAGTCAATATAAAAATATGGATTATGGCCACTTTAAGGACGTACACCTGCAGATGTCTTTGCTCTTGGTTCTCAATGCAACCTTCTAAATGTCTTTCCTAAAATACAGAACCAAAGCCAACATTAAGACCTAACAAGTTCAAATAATTTCTAATAACTAAGCAAGATCACGTAATAAAACACATTAAAAAATGTTTATGTCATTCATTCACTACAAATGTTATCTGACCTGGGCCAACTCGCAATGTTGTTCCAAACCAGAACTGATTTGGTTTGATAATGAATATCAGTCTTAGCTTGGAGGTGTGTCTAGAAGGAAATTGCAGTTATTCACAACAATACACAATTTCCTCCGTTCTCAGGAGAACTATTTTTTCAGCATTTTTTCATAGCAGGCCTCTCTCCCTGCCAATCGTCTCGAGCGGCTCTGACCTTGTCAACCGTCTCTTAAAATTGCTCGACACAGCCTGCAGACAGAGACATTGATGGAAAAGACTCAGCCGTGATGTCCTGTTACAACGTTCCTAAATCAGATTCTTAAAGCATCGTTTCCATTTACAAAATAGAACCAAGTTGAATTTTCCTTTAAAATATGTCTATGACCCTTTCTTGTAAATGTTTGAAGGAACAAGGACAAACAGAAGTATATTGATTATCCTGTGTTAATTAACACATATTGTACAATTAGTCTATAATTCTCTGTGGAATTCAGCCAAATTATAGAAGTAGCCTACGATCCAAAAAGTACAGATGCTTTTCCTTTTTGAAATATTACCCTGCAGCTGCCAAAAAAAGGTGAAGGGTAGTGTAAAGTGTTTGTATGACTTTCTCCTGGCAAGCAGTAATTAGCCCGCAGTGGTCCCATTTGTCTTCACTTTAGCCACACAACTAGAGCCGTGTAGTGTACCACTCTGTCATAATGGAGTAATTAATAATGTAGAGACAGAACGAGAAAGGCAGGTGGTGGGGGGGGGGATGCAGACTTGCTTGCCTTTTACATTAACTATTTAAAAAGACTCTGAAATCACATCTAAACATGAAACCAGATACATATGTTAGGAATATAAAAAGGAAATATTCTCCAGCATTTATGCCAACATACACCAAACTCTCCCAGCTCCTGACTAAACACACACACACAAGGCTGATGTCAATCTTTTCATGTCACCCTCAGAAAGAAAGCTAATAAAAGTATTTACAAAAGTATTGAACTATTCCTTCAAAGAAATCTAAATAAAGTCTGTAAGTCTAAAAAAATTAATTGGAAACCAGGTTTAATTGAAACCCTTCCCAAGAGACCAACAAAGTAAGACTGAAGGTGAGCCGTTTCTTTCTTGCATGTTTTTGTGATAAAACCAAAGGCGGCCGAGCTCTGACAGCCTGAAATTGCATTGAGTGAGGAGAGCAATTTGGTTAATAGTGCTGCAAATCTGATGACTAAATGTGTGTATTTATTTTGTTATATTAGTCATACAGCAGTTTAAACCCATTTTGAGTTTTATCATAACTGACCCTTCCTAAGTTGCTCTGTCTATATACTATATCATATATACTGACTGTATATATGACTGTGTATATATGTCGCCTGTATGTTTTAACCGTCTTCAAAATGTGGTCGCATTTTCAATATAGACAGCATAGCACATAGCATACGTACAGGAAAGGAGAAAGTTGCCTGAGGTTCTGACCGACGCTTGCTCAACTGCCTTCGTAGCACAGAGCAAAAAGGGTCGGAACTTAGAAAGAGTCAGTTGGAGGTACATTAGACCACTTTTTAATTTTCACTTTCTTTCCCCGTCTTTTTCACCCGTTTTATCTCTGTCTTATTTCTCCAGTTGAAGAACAGTCTAAGAGACAACCTGTGTTTGGACCAGGGGCCTGACACTGAAAATGTCCCCATCATGTACCTCTGTCATGGTATGACACCACAGGTCAGTGGGCTCTCTTCTATTCTCTTTTGTTGTATTTTTTCAATTCAAGTCTACCTCCTCAAACACATGAAAACCCCCAAAAAACACTGATCACACAGAGAGATCTTAGGAGAAGTTGTCAGCAGTACATAATTGGACTCCTTCATAGTCTTTGTTATTTTAAATGAGGGAGTTATAGATAGCAACTATTGCATGAAGTTGCAATATAGTAGCAAGTAGAGATTGGAGAGTGATATCTCTTTATTCTCTACACAACAAAAGGGCTGTGTAAGAACACATTCAGTAGCTTTTCCTGGTTTAAAACATCATCAACAACCTCATTATCAAAGCTGCATCAATAGATTTTATTGTTGTTGCTTGTTTGTTTGTTTTTGTGGCCACTTGGGGGCAGCAGAACAAGCTGGAAACACCATATTGACATATAATCACTGTGTAAAAGTTTTTATTTTTGTTGTGAATGTAAAAGAACAGTTACCTTTGCATCCAGCTGACACAGAGCAAGATTAGCATTCATTTCAAGGTTTCTTTTGTGTCAACCTTATGAATGATAGTCCAATATTCTCTATGCTTTTAGCTTAGGAAGTATCTGGCCCTTTATCTTTATGCTCACTATGTCCAACAGCTAGTTACTAACTGTGTCAGTCTGTTGTTCGCTCCTGGGCAGGTTGGGTACAGTTAGTTTATCAGAAGTTTTTTTGGAAAACAAACTGCCTCCTGCTGGAAACAAAATTGATAAGAGTTGTGGGCCAGAACACGAGAACAATGTGTTAGTAAAAGGAACTGTGTTTGGTAGTAATTATATGTGGGTTCATTACTACTTATGCCTTACACATCATTCACAGTCATTTGAACCATTGCTGGTGTAAATATATTGGATATTGCAGCTTTAAACATTCCAAGATTAATTTGTTGTAATGAAATTGTTTGCAGTTGGAGGTAATAAAGTGGAGTTGCTTTGAGGAATTACAGTGATTCTTTGCATAGAGGGGGCAGCAGTAATGTTGAGCTATAGGGGAATGTAATTTACATAAATGAAAAAGTCACATTTCCATAATGAGTTAGCTGGCTAAGAGTTAGGAAATGAAACAAAAAGCTAATATATCACCATGCTATAATAAAGCTGTTTTGTCATGTGCTGTTTTGCTTGTAGAGTGAAACTTTTCAGCCTTCGCAAAAATCTGAAAAGTAATCCTCAAGGCCAATCAACAACCCTATCAGCCTTCTGCAGATTTAAGGCCATTTAATTCTAAGGGGCAGTAAAGGCCACACTTATTGCCCTTTTAATGGAGGCACTGAAAAAAACTTTAAAACACCAAGGGAGTGTGACTGTGTATTTCCACTTTTCACTGCTTTGTGCTCTATAGCTTGACAAAATTAAAAATTCATATTTTACTGTCTGCCATAAAGAGGCTCAAATTATCAGAACCAGACTCTACTACATACCCAGCCTGCCATCTAGAAGAGCCTTCTGAGCACACTCCAAGCCTCGCCTCCATTGTCAGTAAAGTTAATAGCTTTGACCGGCGCCTTGACGTCGGAAACATCCAACTTTCTATCTGGGTCATACTCAGCAATACAACATCAGCTGCTGAAACAGCTGTGTTGGCATTTCTGTCTCTCCTGTCTTTTTGCCTTTCACATTTTCTCTCTCCTAGAGATAGCATAATCACCAGGTGCTGATAAAGAAATTGAGTTGCATTAGTACAATATTTTATCTCCTGCACTGTCTTTATTTATATGAACACAGCACACTGAGACGGGCAAGGCCGCAATGAAGGGCCTTGAGCCTATTCTATTGACAGTAAAGCGCTTAGTTCTGAGCATGCTAGTTTTGCTGGGCGCAAAACTTTGTGAAAACTTTTCACAGCATAATTTGGCACATAGTATAGAAAGATAGCAGGTAAATGTATTCAGCCTGTGGCAGAGCAGGCGGTCCTTAGTCCCAGTCAGCACTGCACAAAGTAGGGCCGGTGGGCCAATTTTTTCCCGTCCTCTGGGATGTAGGATCATGCAGTATCATTGATCTGGTCTACATGGTGCTAATTTGTTAAAATCTACGGGGTTGTCTCTTAAAACCCAGTTTTAGACACGTTTAAACGCAGGTGTAAAGCCAAGCATGTGCTTCTCCAGTTAGTGTTCGTGAAAGGATATTTAGCTGCAGCTATTTTGAGATATTAAAGGCAGAGCAAATGAACAGATAATTTGTTCGCTCATATTTGTGGAGGAATTTGAGCTTACCAAAAAAGGAGAAATGACTTCTAGCAAGCCATAATTTACCCACTGCACTGTAACATGTTTCCAGATAACAGGGATATTTTGGGGCTTTACTAGGATAAGTCAAGATAGCAGCAGAATATCATTACACAGTACAGGATCAGCAAGGGGAACTAATCACTTTATAGAGTGGAGATGTTTGGGCTTTTAGAATCAGAGGTGCATATACATACATTACTATGCACATAAAATGAAATGGAAGTTATTATCTATCCTGTACCTGCTGCAGTAATCATAGAGGGATTAGAGAATGTTAGTATATAATGGATAAATCCATAATCTTTGCTGTTAATGGATATTTTTACACACATTTATGCATAAACGGCATATCCTTGCATTAGCCTATAATGAAATTTCAGGCCTCAGTCACGAATCCTTCTCAAACTGATACATGATAAAACAATATCAAACCTATTTCCACTACCAAAACTGGTATATTGATCTCGAAATCATTGGTGGACACCAAAAAGAAGCCATGTTTAAGAGTTCTGAGACATCAGAGATAAGGAGCCTGAGGATGCAGAGCGAAAAGCAGCAGGAACCGTCTCATAGCCAACATCAAAGACTCAAATATTCCTCTGGTCTTCTATCATGCCTTTATCACTTTTCATTCTTTATTCTTTATTCATGCTGAGTATCTTTTGTAATGTTATTCCCCCAAGTCCCTCTTATTCCCCATTCAGATCCTTTTATTCTGATTTGTCCAATCCTTTAGATCACCTCTGAGTCCTCTTCTTTACAGAATCACTCTATTTTAGTGTGTGTGTGTGTGTGTGTGTGTGTGTGTGTGTGTGTGTGTGTGTGTGTGTGTGTGTGTTTGTGTGTCCAACAGGATGGATAGATATGGCTTTGAATACCTGATGATCTGCTGAATGTCGATGCATAACGTTCCTCAATTTCTTTCTCAGCCACTTGACGCAGATGAGGGAGGGAGGCCTGGAAGGGTATGCAGAGGAGGATGACAGAGAGAGAGAGAGAGAGAGAGAGAGAGAGAGAGAGAGAGAGAGAGAGAGATTTTGAACAAAGTCAGACTGACAGAATCACAGTGGGTATTTCATTAGCAAGTGTTCAGTTAAGCACTTCTTTACAAGAGGCAGGAAATGACCACAGCTATCAACCTCATGCCACTTTCATGTCACGTCAGTTTTACTGTAAGTGGAACCTGCCTACAGGAAAAATGCTCACCTGAAGGTCCTGGTGTTAACTACCAGTTAATGTTGGGAGAAACCACACATAAACATTGTTTCAACTGCTTAGATCTTTTTGTCTTTGACAGTCAGTAAATGCACTGGACAACACACCAGTCAATAACGACTGGAGTCAACCCCACAAATCCCATAAGGAAGCCAACTGTTGTGTTTCCTTGTACCAAAACAAATAGGTGGGTTTGATTTAATGCTGTAGAGGCACTCATTCCACAGTTGCAGTTCACTGCACAGTTAGATTTTTATTGAGGTGTTTAAGTAATGAGTTGACAACTATAATAATAACATACATACAACAAACACCATTGGGTTTTTGTAAGAATGGGTAGCAGTGAACAACACAAAGCAGTGTAAGGTTACAGTCATGAAGAGACCGAAAATTAGGTAAGTAGGTATTTTCTGACAGTCTGATGTAATCGAGCCTAGATTTGAAATAAATAACTTAATAATATTGAAGCAAACAGGCTGTGGCCTGAAACCAGCAAATAAGACAGAGAGATTAACTAATAAATAAATATATTTTAAAATAAATAGAGACTAATAATGATAAACCCTTCGGATTATCGTCAAGTAAGGGTTAAATACATACACTTTCTCTCTCTGAGACATATACAATTCATATTCAGACACGTACTGGCCATACTGACATACACACAGGACCCCATTCATTTTGTCTAACAGAAATGCATAAGACATAAACAAAAAGCAAAACAAAACAAAAACAAAGAAAAAAACAAGGAATACAAAACAGAATAAAGAGAGATGTATAAGAAAAAATAGAAAGGGGTATAAATGGAGACAGAACCGCAGAAAAATATCTATAACTTACTAAAATCATATGATTGAAATGTTTATATACAATGAAAACATCCTTCTAGTGTCAAACCCTGAACATATACCATTCACAGTGAAGCTGAAGCAAACATCCAAGTGTAGGAACAAGAAGAAAAAAAAAAAGATTTTTGAGTGGAGGGGGACTTTAAATCTGAACCAGTCATCTTCTGCGTAATCCACCTGATCCCAAGCTAAGCCCTAACCTCAACCACAGAGGGGGGAGTTGCGGAAAACATAATTTCAACTAGATGGAAACACTATTCGGTAGTCTGGAATACAAACTCAGAATTAGCCATCATTTTTCACAGCTGTGAATTGTCTCAACATGCAGCAGGCCATAAACAAGTGGAAGAAAAGCAAATGTCCCACAGATATTTCTAGAAAGTAGTTCCATTGTTTTTTCAGTCGTGTAATTTCTAAATGCTAAAAATGTCCATAATAAGCTATCATGACATTGCACCAATAAGTTTTCTGCCCCCCGGCTACGCACACATCCTCAACTGTTTATAAACAGGAAACATGTCTCTACATCACATTTGGCAATCTTCGAAAATTAATGTGGCTGTTGATTCAGGGGCTAATTTCAGGCCAATTCAAGAGGTGTGGATGACAATATTTATACAACAAAATAGTGAGAAACTGCAGGCGAAACTAAGCAGGTAATAGAAATCTGATCTGTGCCTCAAT